GGGGTTTCATCATGTTGGCCAGGATGGTCTCCATCTCTTGACATTATGATACGCCCACCTTATCTTCCCAAAGTGCTGGGATTACAGACATGAGCTACTGTGCCCCACTCTGCCACTTACTTTCTAGCTGGTCTGCTGCCTTGATAAGTTAGCCAGGTAAGAATAGAAGCAGCAGCAGACCCATTTCCACCATTTCTACTAAGGTCAGATGGAGCCAGATTGTACCTTTTTTCCCCCATAGATCATTTCTCTTGGCTTTTCAGGACCAAGTGCAGGCTGAAAAAAATCTGTATTTGTTGCTTCACTCACAGGAGTTCATGCACCTGGTTAATCTAATACTTAGTAAATTAAAAGATCTGTTGATAGGAAGCCACTGCTGGTGGAGACTGAAATCATACCTACCTTTAAGTATCTTTCAGCTGAGGGAAAAATAAATCTTTTTCTTAGGTAAGTCACTGTTCATTGTTTCTGTTGCACTATCAAAACTAGTTGATATACTTAATCCTAAAATGATACAATGCATTTGAATATAATTTTATCAGCTTTGGTCCCAGTAGGAAAAGATGACACACTCAAAACTTTAATGCAGGGACATGGGCAGGGTTAAAGGAACCAATTTGGTAGTAGCTACAGGAAACTATTTCAGCACCTGGGTCTGAAGAGATATAAGGAAGGAGCTGTTGACTTAACATGGTGAGAACTGTATCCTTGACAGAGGGGCTAGCCTACAAGGGTTAGAAAAGCAAATACATCAGCCCAGCTTGCTTTGGCCTCCCAAAGTGCTGAGATTACAGCTATGAGCCACCATGCCTGGAGCCTAGTTCATATTTTAAAAGATTATAAAAGAGAGCCTGAACTTACTGTTTTTAGCGATGAGAAGCCTGAGCAAAAATACAAGATGCTAAGGAGACAGTGTCAGTTCAGTTCATCACTCTTTGAGAACCGCACTGGGATCATTTTGCCATTCCTTCTCAAGACCTAAAAATAAAACGATTACATTGTTGAGTTTAAAGTGTTGTCTTACTCCATTGGTAGTCTTTATTTCTTGAAAACTGACCAATAGCTTTGGAAGGAAAGCAGTAATAGGTGCTAGTTGGTGGATGCAGAATGATTACATCAACACATTTTGAAATATTTATACAAAAAAAAATCAGACTAGAAAAATTCTGTGCAAGAGCAGGACTAATAAGATCCCTGCTTCAATTCTAGCCCCACTGTTTAGTTCCTAATGGAATAAAGAAGGCACCACATACAGTGTGCTTCCCTATGACATCTGAAAGCCTCTGTCAGCTCAGAGCCATTTGGAGATATAAATCAGAGAAATCAAAATAATTTGGTTATAACATTTATTTATTTTTGCACTGGCTCCAAATAGCTTGGGCAATTTAAATAACCAGACTGCTAAATAGAGCTCTTATTTAAGATGGGCTAATTAATTCTTCATTAAAACATATTTATTGAGACCTTCTCTATGTCAGACATTAGGCCAGATTCTGGGGAAACAATGGTAGCAAAAGTAACTTGGAAATATATCATGACAGTATTTTCTTTGATTTAGAAAAAACTCACCAAATAGAGTTGAATACATTAATCAATGTCCATCCCTATGATAAAATGTTAAGATAATTACAGAATTTAGAAAGTGTTCTTTCTTATATCCATTTGTTTTCCTGCTGTGCTCTACCAACTCAAATGTTTTCTTATCAAAACTTTTCCATTATTCTATAAAAGTGTTCCAAAGAGTAAGGCTTACAGGATGGCATTAAAAAAGTTTCTAAATAATCCAAGCATTGTATCAGTTGAGTAATGGCCATGAGTTGATTTAAAATCTCTTGTAATACAAGGATTTTTGGGGTAGGGAGAGGAGGAAAGAGTAACATGGGTACAAGCATTTGAGATAAACTCATCTAGAGTTTAGTGGCTAAAAATGTCCTATGTCTTATTTCATTTCTAGTTTTTGTTACTATCTTATTTGCTCACTTAAAGATTTTCACTTGATGCTCAAATCAAAGGAAAATCTGGGAGGAACCTAACCACAAGCAAATGAATTATGACTTTTAGTTCCAAAACGATGCTTTCTATAACAATACAGAGTAGAATAACAAGAGAGTAACGGAACACACAGTGGTCCACATGGTTGTGCAAGCCCTTACTGGCAGATGCAGTTTTTTTCGTTTGTTTGTTTGTTTTTTTTTGAGACGGAGTTTCGCTCTTGTTACCCAGGCTGGAGTGCAATGGCACGAACTCGGCTCACCGCAACCTCCGCCTCCTGGGTTCAGGCAATTCTCCTGCCTCAGCCTCCTGAGTAGCTGGGATTACAGGCATGCGCCACCACACCCAGCTAGTTTTTTATATTTTTAGTAGAGACGGGGTTTCACCATGTTGACCAGGATGGTCTCGATCTCTCGACCTCGTGATCCACCCGCCTCAGCCTCCCAAAGTGCTGGGATTACAGGCTTGAGCCACCGCGCCCGGCTTGTTTTTTGTTTTTTATCAGCATTGAAAGTCTCTTTTCAGCTCCATTGCAGAATCTGTCATCTCAGCTGACAAGTGGTAGTATGCAAGATTGTTGACACTTGTGGCCAAACGAAGACTTATCTTATTCAGCTTATTCCCTACCAAAAGAAAGAGAGGGTTAGAGAGTTACTAGGAACCTGAAATTTTGCCTGGGGTTTTGATAAGGTTGACTGAGCAGGTCCACTTGAGTCTTTCATGAGAGGGACTCTGTCTGCCTTATGTTAAAACTGCAGTAGTTCCCAGCTTTCTAGAATAGCTATCAGGAAGATATAAGTGGGTGACTAGGAGTTCCTGGGGCTCCAGCTTTCTTGCCCTTCAGAGCTCAGTTCAGTTGTGATTTCTTCCATGAAGGCTTCCTTAATTTTCTAACTTACAATAATTTCTTTCTTCTTTGCAACTCCTCTGTCACTAAGTGCTATATCTCTGACATCATTTACATGTCTGGGCTTCGTAACCAAGCCTCTTGAGGACAGGATCCCTACTGGATTCAGGTGTGCATTCCTCAAGCACACCTTACTGTGACCAGCATGAACTAGGTACTCAAAATGATATTAATGAATGGGCAAATCTGACTGTGAATAAGACCTGAGATTTCTCAATCTACTTACCCATGAGTAGATGGTAGATCACTAATTGCAGAGCAAGTAAGATTTCTTATCACCTTGGCAGGGAAGAAGATCAGGGAAGGCTGAGGAAATAGCTGCAATGGCAACTACTGACCACGGCAGTTCAAGACCACACATAAATACATTCAAGTTGAAGTGCAGTAACTACTTGTTCCATATTTCACTAAGATGTCTATTATGTCAAATGTTCCCTTGGTATAAATAGCAGAAGTTTCTATGAAGGGCTTTCTTTTATGTCGTTTTACAGAAAAATCAAAGTAGGCAGGTTTGCTATTGGTATACTCACTTCACATGTGAGGATGCTGAAGCAAAGGAGGTGAATGACTCAAAGTATTCTGTGCGCATATCTTTAGCTCTTTGCCTCCTTATAGCTAGAGAGTGCCAGGAAAAATGCTCTTATTTCATTTTCCTTGAGAATACACTCAGTTGTCAGAAATAAAAACTCAACTTGTATTATCAGTATCCATCATTTTGTTAGAAATCAATGTTTCAAAAAACACTGAAGGTTTCATGTACGTCCAAATTTTATTATCATTAATCAAGTAACATGAAAGAGATTATTCTTTTTTATAGACTCACTATATAAGGATATTGAAGAAGGCTAGCTTGAGTTAGGCAATAAGTTTGATCATGTTCTATGCAGTCCTTTTCATTACATTTGATTTGGCTTGTGTGGTGATATTGTGGTCTCTGATAGGAATGCAGGTAAATGAAGTTAATAATGTATAAAAATGAATCATGTTGAAAATCAGGGAGGAGGGAAGTAGTCACTGAGTTCCTGTAGTGACCCTAGTTTAGTTCATTTAAGAATTTTGATTTTCTATCCTCCATGAAAAATTTAGCTTTAAAATACAATTCTGTCACAGTTCAAGCTTCTGTATTTGGGGTACTTGCCACAGAGGAACACTGATATTAAATATAATTGAAGGAGACCAGATTTTCAAACTTTTATAGATAAGGAATATCATGCATATTGAGAAAAGTGCCTAGCCCAGCTTCTCTGGAGAATCATTAATGGCCCAAATGATAACCCATATTCTTGCCCAGACCACTAAAATATACTTTCTAATAAGGTACTTCCATAGTTTATAAGTTATATGAAGTATGAAATAGAAAACATTTTATAAACTGTAACCCCCTTAAGTCTAAAACTGTATACATCTATATTAAAAACCACACAAACCTCACATTTGGGGCACTTTTATTTACAGCTCAGGAAAAAAGAAAACTAGCCTCTATTTAGAATGGGAAAGCATGTTTGTAGTAAAACAAATATTTAACCATCACTTATTTTCCATACCATTTGCAATTGACTGTAAGTTTTATATTTTTCATTTTCAACAGAGATTTCAATTTTAATAATCCCAGAAATGTAAAGATGGCTTTATAATGTCCTATATGTTGGCAGTCCTACCCTGAAGACTTTTTGTGCTTAACTTTTTTTCTGAGCTACAGTCTTCATAGAAACTAAATTAGCATGATTGGACGAGAGAAGAATATAGAAATGGGAAATATTCATGTCAGCTGTTAAAAACCAGTTTTGTAAAGCAAGGCCTAAAAGTCCTTATCTCTGGCATGTTCAGTATGGAATGCATAGTTGATTGTCATTCAGCTACTAGAGAAAGGTATTCTACACTGGCAGATAACCTTATCAAAACAATTAGTTGGCTTTCTCCACAGGGAATAGCAGTGGGTTAAGTAAGACTGAAGTGAGAGCCCTTATCAGTTTTCTCAGAAATGATTTCTCAGTCATGGATATCTGGTCAACTAGTTAGGTCTAGCATGAACATGTGATTTCTAAGACAATGAGTTGAGATTGCTAACATGCTGCAAAGGAGCATCTAGTAGAAGCTGATCTCTAAGCAAAATCATCAGTTTATTAGAGTTTCAAAATTTTTTTTAATAAACATGTTAACATACACATTCTGCTTACATTGTTTAGGGTGCTTTTTATTGTGCCTAAAAATTTGCAATAAGGTGAAATAAAATATTTAAAAATGGCTGAATACCAGATGGAAGATGAAATCTCCTATTTATAGGATGTAATTTAATATATGCATAATTAATCAAAATTGTGTCTTTAAATAACATCTTGACTTTTTTGAATTGTACTAAGAAACACTACTATGTATCATTCATTTTAACACTGACCTATTTATGATTAGTTTATAACATTTTCATGCAATCTTAAATTTTATGTTTTAATCTTCACAATGTTTGATTTAATTCAAATCAACAAATATTCAAGCCTGCATGAGAGACAAATGAAATGAGACTACCTTTATATATAATCAGCAAAATTATTTTTAAGAATAAAAAGTTAATATTGGGATTTAAAAACCTAAATTCCCAATGTTACTGCTAAATCCAATCCAGTTTTATATATATATGTAACTTAGGCCACAGGACTGCCCATTAGTCTTTCTTGTCGGAGAGCAATTAACCTCTTGAACCATCTTTCCTCAGCATCAGCTTTCTCAATAAATAACTGAAATAAAAAAAGAAAAAGGAAAAATGTTACTGTCTCCCAATAACTTGAATTTGACCAAATATGACAGAAATCATCTTTGTAGAATGTATCTCTCAACGCAAGATTTGGACACTGTTTAACTCTTGATGACCTCTTAAATGATGACTATCTATCTGGATTCTTGGAGTAAAAGAGCTACTTTTATCAACATCATTGGTTAATAATTTTGTATCTTACATTTGTGAAGTTTATTTCCTACAACTTTTCCAAAACACAGAGGAATTACACCATTTCATAGAAGATAGCAAAGTTAGACATAGAACTTTTAGTGCTAGATTTTTAAACAAACACTTCTCATGGTGCTGATCAATTCAGAAAAAAAAACAAAACAAAACAAAAAAAAAACAAAAAAAAAACCTTCTCTTTTTCTATTTTTCTTAACCATAGACAGAATAATTCGACAAGCTGGGCAACATGAGTTGGACCCTACTGTTTTCAATATAGATAACAGTCCTAAAGGCCTGGGGGCCAGATGTCTATTTTTGGCAAGGGAATATGAACCTGTTTCCTCCAATGGTCTTCTTCGTCTCAGCACAAAAGGATAACAGTTTGAATTAATTTCAGTTAACTCGACTTCAACTGACATTCTTAAAGTTTAAGGATCTTACATTTGGATGGGCCAGGGAATTGTCATCTTGGTACTTGATAGCAGTAGGGATACTGCTAGGATCTATTTCTTTTTCAGTACTGGGTGGTTCAACAACTGCTGATGCTGGTCCTGACGTTGAAGTTGCCTGTTTCACTTCATTAGGTTCCAATGACTGAAAGAAACAACACATGTTATTCAACACTATACACAATTAGAGTGTCACTTCAATAATATTTCTGATTTTGAATAACAACTGTTCAACTAGTCCCCTTTGAGATGATATTCATCTCCAAAAAGGCCCTACTTTTTGTATTTGTTTGTTTTAGAAACAGTTATTTTATTTTTGTATTTGTTTGTTTTAGGAATGACTATTTTTAGGAATAGAGTTATACACAGAAATAGAATATAGAAAAAACTATACTGTATTTGTTTTAGGAGTAACAAACACAAAAATGCTGAGAAAATATTCAACATTTCTTATGATGAGCATATTTTTCTTAAGAAATTGGTACTTATGTGCCTATACTATTGAAATATACGTATATTTAATATATCTAAATTCTATCAATCAAAACAAGCTTGAAACAAATCTCTTCTAGCACTGAGTTGGCCTCTTTAGGTATGAAAAGTAAATTCAAAGGTTATCTTTAAAAAAATAACCTTATTGACAAATAGAATTCATATACCATATAATTTACCCCTTTAAAGTACATAATTCAATGGATTTTAGCATATCCATGGAGTTGTGCAATTACCAGAATCAACTTTAGAACATTTTCATCATCCCCCACAAAACTTCCTAACATTAGTAATCAGTACCCATTTCTTCCAACCTTTCCATCATAGGCAACAATTAATCACATTTCTCTATGGATTTACCTTTTCTGGACATTTCACATAAAAGGAATCATACAATATGTAGACTTTCATTGGTTCTTTCATTTAGCATTTTTTTTTTTTTTTTTTTTTTTTTTTGAGATGAGTCTTGCTCTGTCGCCAAGGCTGGAGTACAGTGGTGTAATCTTGGTTCACTGCAACCTCTACCCCCCAAGTTCAAGTGATTCTCCTGCCTCAGACTCCCGAATAGCTGGAATTACAGGTGCATGCCATCACGCGAGGCTAGTTTTTGTAATTTTAGTAGAAACGGGGTCTTAACCATGTTGGCCAGGCTGGTCTTGAACTCCTGAGTGCAAGTGATCTACCTGCCTCAGCCTCCCAAAGTGCTGGGATTACAGGTGTGAGCCACTGTGCCCAGCTGCATCATGTTTTTAAGGTTCATCCATGTTGCAGCATGTATCAGTACTTCATTATTCTTTATTGCTAAATAATGTTTCATTGTATGGATCTACCACATTTTATTTATCCCTTCATCAGTTGATGAACTCAAAGGTTGTCTTGGAGCTACTTAAAACATTAAAAAATATATACAAAAGTTTGAAAAAGAAAAGGTATGATATCTTTGGCATAAAATGAAATTCTAGGATTTCTTGTATCATCATGCAATCCATAGACTCCCAATTCATTCCACCTTTACTGAGTATTCCCCATGTGCCATGCACTGTACCAAGTGTTGGGGATACAACTAATGAATCATCGTTTCTTCCTTGAAGGAGCCAGAAGGCTAGTGCTTATTCAGCTAAATTCAATATATTCTTCCCTGAGAAAGAAGGCCAGGGAGTGACTGATTAGCAGCAAGGTTATAGGGATAATATGAAATGGATTAGATGAGAAGCTGAAATTTAAAAGTAAACTTAAATAAAAATAAGAATAAGAGATTAATTCTGTTATGTAGCTTTTTAAAAATACCTATTCGTTCCACACCTGTTGTTTTTCAATTTCCATTTCTTTTAACTTATCTACTTCTGAACATTTCACTTCTCTGAACAAAGCCCAAAATGATGTCACTGGGAAAAATATAGAGAGAATAAAATATGCATGAATTAAACTGTTCTTAATTTGTTTTGGAGTTGGAAATCCATTTATTTAACCAGTATTTATTGAGCACTACTAATTGCTAAGCACTGGGTGTGCAGGCAGAATAAAACAGATACGGTCCCTGTCTCAAGTGGTGATTACATGTTGCCAATGGAGTTGACAGATTATAAATAAATTGCAAAATAATACATAATCACAAATTGTAGTATGTGTTATAAAGGAATATACAAGGTGGTGACAAAGAATGATGGGGATCAGGAAGGGAAAAACATCTACTTTAGATTGAGTGGGTAGGAATGGCTTCTCTAGGAGGTGAAATTGAAGACCTGAAGACTTAGGAAGGAGTCAGGTATGTGAAGAGGGAGAACAGTTTTCTGGCCAGAGGGAAATGACAAAGATTCTGAGAGAGAAGAGCTTGGTGTCTTTGAAGATCAGAGAAAAGGCCAGAGGGGCTGGTGTATGGTAAGCAAAAGGGACAGCAAGATACTGCAGCCCAGAACTTGGGGAATTTCTTCCTTAATTCAGCCACACCACCACTCTGCATGGGTGTCACTTCCAAGCACCACAACAGGAAAATGCCCTCAGGCAGAAAGTCTGGTAAATGTGGGGCACACCTTTTATTTCCCTTCTCTAAAGGATCACACTCCTGGGCTGCCTATTGTCACATTCCTAAAAACAATGCCTCACATATCTTGTCAAGTTCTATAGCTGTTTATAGTGCGAGGTCAAATTTGGTACAGTTATTCTGTAATGGTCAGATGGTCAGTAGTGAAAGTCTACTTAATTCTTGAAAAATATTGTTTTGGCTGCTGCATAGGTCCTGGGCTAGAGAAATGCAAAAGGAAAAACAGGAAGAACAACCAGACGGCTACTATAAAAGTTAAAGAATGAGATGATGATTTGGATTTGGATGGCGGCTGTGGAGAGTTGAGAGGAGACAAGTTCTGAGCTCTTTTGGGGATGATGATATCAAGATCCATTTCTTTTTTTTAAGGCATGTATTTTATTACATTAAAATATACCAGTTTAAAATTTTTATTTTAATGGAAGCTGATCGGCATTCATAGGAGAGATTTATTCCCTTGTGGACAAAAGGGCCAGATATCTGGACAGTCATGTACATTTAGGAATTTTTAGAAAGAGAAATGTATTCTACAAATTGTTTTCAAATGTTAAGATGCTTATGAATACGAAACCTAACAATTGATGTCAATGTTAATGATAATATTTACTTTAACAAATATTTATTCAATTTGTTTTGGAAGCTTTATTCTTATATTTAGGAGCCAGTAATTTTTTTCACCAGGTCTCAAACATTTGTATGTCTCCAACACACTGGGCCTAGAAGGCTTGTGGACCTAAGTGATGTTATATTGACCCTTTATACAACTAAGGACATTTAAAAGGCCCAATATTCTGCATAGGGGAAAGTGGAAAATATGCTAATCCAAGAGGTTTAGGACATTGATTTTTCTTAGTCTATACTGCTTTACGGAAACTATAAGAGCATATCATTCTGTGTATCTTAGTCATGGCGTGATAGGGCTTAGCTATGAGATGCTATCCATGTTAAACTGCCTTAAAAAGATGTGTAGTACTATTATTCTAGTAATCAAAGATGTGGATACCACCTCTGCAGGTAGCAGAGATAAGATTCTACCATATAAATGAAGCAATCTCATTTTGTTTTTACCTACATAGTACATTGATGATTTCTTTGAGAGGTACTTACACGTAATAGAAGGTGAAGCTCTCAGAGGTTAGATCAGAATATGAAAGTCTGTCTGTCTGTCTATCTATCTATCTATCTATCTAAGATGGAGTCTAGCTCTGTCGTCAGGCTGGAGTGCAGTGGCGTGATCTTGGCTCATTGCAATCTCTGCCTCCCAAGTTGATTCAAGCAATTCTCCTGCCTCAGCCTCCCAAGTAGCTGGAACTATAGGCATGTGCCGCCATGTCTAGCACATTTTTGTAGTTTTAGTAGAGATGGGGTTTCACCATGTTGGCCAGAATGGTCTCAATCACCCAACCTCATGATCCACCCACCCACCTTGGTCTCCCAAAATGCTGGGATTACAGGCCTGAGCCACCGTGCCCTGATGGAAGTTATTTATTTAATAATGGGCAATTAAATAGTTTGTAGAGAGAACCACTAATTGCTTCTTTATTTAAGTGAGAAAAACTGTAAGAGAAAATTTTCCCTTGACTATAAAACAAAATCTCAAAATGGCCACTGTGAAACGCCTGGCGTTGAGTAGTGCTGCCACCTGGTGGTTTACTTTGTAAAAATTAGTTCTAAAATCAACTAAGTGGGCCAAAAGACCATGCTGCATAGGGTTATTTACCCATCTTTTCTACATAGGTGGGTATCTGCCAGATACAACAATATTAGGGTTGAATAACTGATACTAAGTTTGAAAACAAGCTGCATCTTGGTTCCTCAAGTTAATGACATATCAGGGACTATCCAGATCCCCTATTTACTCAGACAAGAGAAATATGATTTCAGAGAGTTAAACTAGTTAAATCAATATGTGTTGCAGGAGACACAGTGTCTAGCATGTCACTTGTAATAGTCACTTTTCTGGTAAAAGCTCCCTAGCTTAATTAGTGGAATTAATACAGCTAAACAAAGCTTGTACCAACTGAAGGGGCGGCCAGCATAGAAAAGCCTTTTTTAAAGATACAAACTTATATCAAAGTGTACAAAACTGCCCAGGAGGAAAATATGTTGAAACTAGGGTCATAGGTAATTCAGTCCTCAAGAGAGTGAATCCTTGCTATGCATCAGGAATAGTCCATCATATCTCTCTATGATCTGAATAAAAGAGTCCACAAGATAATTTACCTCCTTTTGCTAAGTAATCTTCTCATAAATAATTCAGCTTCTTGGGCAACCCAAATCCTTCCCTTATATCGCAGATACAGATATTTTAGAATCTAGGGAAGGGATATCACTTTCTAAAGTAATAAACTGTCCCTTTGTTTTGTATTTCAGTCAAGTGTGAATTTATTCATTGTTAGACTATCACTGGTCTTCTGATCCTTTTGAAGTGTAGTGACTAATAAAAGTCCAGTAAGACTTTGGACTATTGTATATTCACTGAGATAAATGCTATCTTCTGAAGCTTCCTAGCATGTTCTCCTGTTGGCACCACTTCCTACCTTTCAATGCATGCTTTCTTGGAGGCACTGAATTGAAAATAAGTTTAAGGGGGGAAAATTAACAATTAGTACATCAAGCAAGAAAAAGTTGTTTAGTTAAAACCCAGTGTATCGACTATGGAGGAATAAGCATTTCCACAGAATGAAAATGCTAGTTTATCATAAGAGAGTCCAATAAGAAGGGGGAGGTCAGGTTACACTTCAGAAAACCAATATGAGGGAAAAAAGTTTCAAAATGAAGTATAGTAATTCCATTAGGATACATGAATAGCCTTATAATATGTAAGAATAATATTAAATAAAATGGGCAACTTATGAATGTCCATTTCACAGCTCCATTTTTTTAAGGAGTTGTGGTGGCAAACTACCAAAAGTTCAAAGGAAATCAACAAAACGGCAATGCAAGTCCCACAGATTATCCAGGGCTATCTAGCCCTATGCCTGGCATATGCTCAATACATCTCTCCTGAATAAATTATTTAAAAAGTATATGGTAATTGAAAAGACTTTCATCTGACTAAGTGCTAATGGAAACAGGCCAATTTTTACCTGTTAGGTCAGTAAACATGACAAACTTGATAGGATTTGGTGTTAACCAAGATATCTGTGGGAGTCAGATTATCTCCTTGAACTTTTGGGCGGGACTTTTGAATTGGTTGACTATTTTCAGGAAGGTTACTTGGAAATACATATTAAACAATGTTAACCTTTACCAAGTAATTCATTTTAAAATTTTAAGAAGATAATAAACATGTATGTAAAATCTCTGAAGTTACAACTACTTATTTAATATTAGAGGAAAAATAACCATTAGGAGATATCAGCAGGATATTATACAGCCATTAATACAATTTATGGATGTAGAATATTTTAGAGTGTTAATTTCAACCATGTTTTTGTTGTATGAATGCTATTAAAGAATACGTGTATTTCCTCGAATGCCTTTTCTTACTTCAATTAGGTTTTCTATGGAAACCTAATTCCTAAAAGCAGTCCTACTAATGAATGAAAGAATATCTGTATGCAGAAGGTATTCAGAGTAAGAAAAAAAAAAGAATATCTGAAATATTCAATGGATATAAAATATCAATCAAAGCTCCTCTACCAGAGCCAAATAAGTGATAACCATCTGGGCAAAGAATGAAGATATATGTGATAATATGGATATTAGTTTTTATTATTAAAGCTCTTTGTAACTTTTCTCTAGCAACGTCAATTCAAAAAGTAGATGTATACATTTGAAAAGAATATCATATATGTTAGGAAATGTGTATTACTGTTATAGAACTACCATGTTGACATATTGCTTTGTCTTCTTGGTGAATTTAAAAATAAAAAGGACATCAAACACATTTTATAGTATTTTTTTTTAAGCAAGTTTAACTTGTATTAAAGTGACTTAAGTTGATTCTCATGAGTTTCCTCTCTCTTAGCTACATGGCTGACACTCTCTTGGCCTACTTCATCTATTAGAAGAAACACATATTATGTTTCCATTAACAAAGCATCTCTTCAGTTAGATTCCAAAGATTTACTTACAATGTGTGGATAAAGACTTACCTTTTTGACTTCTTTACTTGATCTGAATGTCTGCTGAACAAAAGAATCACTTTCAATAGCTTCAATTTCTTTTACTCTTTTTACTTGTTCTACCAGGGTGGCTTGGTCTGAAAAAGAGGGTATAATGTCAGGGTATTTTGGTGTGAGCTTGCTAGTAACACTATACCTAAGTAATGTTCTTTCTTTCTATGAAGAAATTTTACTACTTATGAAATTTAATTGGATAAAAGGATGTAAGCTACAACAAGAAACTCTTTTGTTTCTGAGGTCCATAAATATAACACTTCTATGAACTAAGACTCATACTCAAAACATAAAACACTGCTAAGAAGGCACTGCTACAATGATCTCAGCTAATCTGGTGGGAAGGCTTTTTCTTAAACTTCTATTTTAACATTTTATCATGGAAATACATATAAAAGGAATAAGGGCACAGTCAATCTACCTGTACCCAATGCTCAGCTTCTATAACCATTAAATTTCTGTTATTCTTATTTAATCTATCTATATCTACATCTCAGTTTTTTTGAGTAGATCTGAAATATTTAAAAGTAAATCCCAGGCATCAGACCATTTTATCCCTAAATAGTTTAGTAGGCATCTCCAACAGATAAGAACTTAAAAAGAATAATTTAACTATAATTTTCACAACTAAAATATTATCAATAATTCCTTAATTTGATTACATAGTCCATATTTAATTTTCACTGATTGTAAAAAAGTCTTTTTACAGTTGGTTTGTTTGAAATAGGATCCAAACAAGGTCCACACATTGGAATGGGTTGATAAGTACTTTAAGTCTCTTTTTACCACTTTCAGTCCACTGTCTTTCCCTGTCAGTGCCACTTACTTATTAAAGAATCTGAAGCACGTATCTTGTAAAATTTCTACATTCTGGATCTGGCTGATTTTATCCTCATGATGTTATTTAACATGTTCCTCTATTTCCCATGTTTTGTGTAAACCACTAGTAAAACCTAAAGGCTTAATTACATTAAGGTTCAATTTCTTTTGGTCAAGAATACATCAGAGATGACGCTGTGTAATTCCTATTACATCATATCAGGATGCACGTTTCCTACTTTTAGTGGTTAAGATTGATCAGTGGGGACAAGGTGAGTCAGTCTGGCCCCTTAGAAAGTTCTCCATCAACCTTTCACTTAGTAAATTAGCAACATTGTTTGTTGCTTTGAGTCATTATTTCATTAGAGGTTGTAAAATGGTGATATTCTATCATTCTTCCTGCATTTATTAGCTCTGATTCTTCTATAATAAAGAACATTTCCTCACTGCATATTCAGTGACTGTGAAATACAGCCTACATAGGAAAGTCACAATAAATGTTTGATTCTTTCTCTTTATTTATCAATTTTGGTCCAAAGGTGACAAAAGATGAATTTCATGAATTCATGAATATTTGTTTATTTAATGTACTGCAGTCCATGGTAGTCATTTTCTTATTTTGATGCTTCAAAAGCTTCATTTTTGGGTAGTGGGATCCTCTTGAAGTTGGTTCCTATATCCTTTCAATATAATCCCCTGTAGTTATGGCTTAATAAGAGTTGTAGGATCATCTTGAACGGTTTCTGTCCCAGAGCTGAAAATAGCCATTTCTCCAAAGAAACCAGGCTCTTTATAATGGTAAATGATATTTATAGACAACAATCTGGGTACTAGGGGTATTTAGTTAGCATGAGTTCATGCTGATATTACCAACCAAATTAAAGTTTTTAGGATTATAAAATTGTTTTATTTGATATTTGTTTATCTTTTCTCTTACTGTAAAAATCTTAGGCCCTAATGAAATGACCAAAAGTATTTGTTTTTCTTAATATGTGCATTAATTTCAAAATAACAGGAAAAATATTACTATTAATAACAAGGTGTATTAACCACAGTTTAAACTTCTGTTATGGTCTCTGATTTTAGGATCTATTCCACTGCTAAAATGCCAAAATACTATGCTCTAAATCATAAAATAATTCTCTGCATAATTATGCTATGAATTTGATATACAATTAGGTTTATTTGTTTCAGTTCATTGAAAAACTTTTTTAGGTTTTGCTTTGTGATTAATAATAATTTTTTAGTTGCAAAAAATATTTACATGATTCTAGGGTCAAAATTTAAAACATTCAGAAGTCTAGAATGTTCCTAGTTCTCACTTCGATCTAGAGGTAATTGTTTTTACTAAGTTTGTGTTTACCCCTCCATTGTTTACTTTTGAAAATATAAATATACATATTCTTTTCTTGCTTACATAAAATTAGCATACTGTATACTGCTATGTATATTACATTTTTCACTTAATATTTCTTCAATCTCACTCCATAGCAGCTAAGAGAGTTCTATATTCTGTTTTATAATTACATAGTATTTTATTTTATAGTTTAATGACACTTTTTTCCACTAATGCCCTGTAGATGGTTAGTTGTTTCTACTCTTTTGCTTTCATAGGTATTACTTTAATAAATAGCCATTGTGCATGTGTAATTTCATATTTTTGCATTTTCTTATTTTTATATTTCAGTTTTTTCACATGCTAGCTGGGTAGAAAAAAATGTAACATAATGACTCACACCCTTGCTCTTTGAATTCATTTTAGGCTGACATGAATACACAATTGAATTAGGAGCGACTGTATACTTAGCTAAGACACTTAAAAATTTTGGGATTTAGGGCTCATGGATAATAGTCACATTTACTTAATAATAGTAATAACTGGTTTGATATGAAGGTGGACTATTTTGCAAACTAATTTTTATAGCAGCTTTATTCTGAAAAGGTTAAATGTTGCTATATAGATGAATATAAAGAGTATTAAAGGAAATTTGGTTTCATATATTCAACAAAAATATTATCTGACAAAATCTTTGTCTCAATTTTTGATCAATAACAATTTATAATTATACAGTGTTATGTAAGCTCCAGTCCATTTATGAGAAAGATGGCTTTTATGAAGATGTGTCCCTGACAGCTGAAACCAGTCTTTTCTCTTGTGAGAAATCACATGAGAATGGAATGCTTGGAAGTAGCAGCTACCACAGCCAATACTCCCATCTTTGGAAAAATATATCTTCCCACATAATAAAAGCAAGCACTGTCCAAGTGCCACGTAAGAGTAAATAGTCCCACATGCTTTATACAATGAAAGCTCCTCTAGATTTTAATTATGCAATGTACTAATTCAGCACGTGAAATGAGAGAAAGTTCTCTGCCCAGCTAATTTATTAATATTAACACATCCCATACAAGCAAATACATTTTTAATTAATTATAATAATGTTAATATAGCAGAGGAAAGTCATAATGGGTACTATTCTGTGTAATCCAACTTTAATGTCAATATGAAAATATTTGTTTGTACAGGTGTTAAGTTAATTTCACTAGGATTATTTCACAGTCACTAATTCCCAACCAAAAGACATTATTTCTGACTTCAGGATCATGCCTCATATGAATGAAATGTTGGACCTCTTGAACTTTTTCTCTAAACATATTCTCTATTTGGAATGCAAAGGACATCATTAGTATTAAATGTGAGAGGTGACCTCACAAACAGTACTTGATGTCTAAAGCTTGCAGTGTTTGCAGCTTTAAATTTGGACATACAACCAGCTCCGGATACAAATAAAAGTGTTATCATAGAGGCTTGTCAAAACCAGCATGCTTAACAAAATAGCATTGGAAAAATTATAAAGGAAAGAAGGAGAAAGATTACAGAAAAATAGGACATTATCTTTGTACTTCTTTAAAGATCATTTCAGAACTAACAAAGTGACAGAGCAGACAGGAGAAAGCCAGTTTGCCTTACTTACAATACGAAAATACACCAACACAGCTTTTGTGTTTCAATGTGGGAATAATTTTACTGGTTGTAAGAGGATGATATTTAAATTACAATTTGAAAGATTCATGGGAGATTTACATTTTTGGCTTAATAATACCTCAGCTCTATCCTGTATGAAAACAGACATAAAAATGTTTCAAATTGCTTCTTATTCAAAATTCTAATGTCAGTGTCCACAAATATCTGTCTTGAGTATAACCCTGTCATTTTGGGAAGTAGAAGAAAAAAACACATCAATATTAACACATCCCATATAAGGAGATACATTTTTAATTAATTATATGTAAAATAATGTTAATATAGCAGAGGAAAGTCATAATGGGTACTATTCCGTGTAATCCAACTTTAATGTCAATATGAAAATATTTGTCAATATGAAAATATCAATATACTACATTGTTTTAAATTCAGTTTCTTAGGTTATTCAAGTCAATTTGTCATTTAACAATTTTGAGCCAATTTTAAGATTGGGAAAATGTAATTTAATGAGTTATTGTTTATATGTGTTACATAAATGCCTAACACACACATAGTATCTTGTATTTATTAGCCATGAAGTAAAATTAAAGACAAGTAACAAAGTTACTGGAAGAATTAGTATTATAAGATGTTTTAAAACATTTACATGGTAAACATGAAGGAAACATAACCATTAGCACTCGATGATTTTTTAGTAAACACATTATTGGTAAATAAAATGACTTCCATATGTTGTTTGCCAGATGTTAACAGAAGGGATATATACTTCATAGTAAAATAAAAAATAATAAAATTAGAAAGCCAAGTCATTATAGATCCACAACAATCAATACTAACTCAAAGTATAGAAAACCATTTTCCTTTTGTGATGAAAAATTTAAAAAAGTATTTTATTAGTTACTGTTGATGTTATAATATAAAAATTAGGATCTCCTGCTTCAAGTTATATTTGACAATTTCACATTTTATAACATTTACAGAGTTTTCTCTTAAAATATTATCAAATGTTATACAAATTTTAAAATTAATAAATAAAGATGAGAAGGTTCAATGTAAATCTTTCATTTGAAAAGAAAATTTTAGTTTTTTCATATTGCATTTGTAGATTACAACATAAACCATAAACCAATCTTCTCTAACAGCAATACCAGGCTGAGAACTGCAGATGGCACTATTGCCCCAGATGTAATGACAATAACAACCACAACTTAGCAACTGACTCCTTTTAAATACTAGTATTTTATGAATTTCCCCAAACTTAAAATTCATTTTATGTTA